TAGGCACAGGTGTGGAGCCGTTTCGCAGGTGGCGTCTGTTGCGGATGGACACCCTGCCACTGCCACTCAACCTGACGGCATACTGCCTGTGAGGGCGGGCTTCCACTACTATGCCTGTCCTGTCCCAGAGCTTGGTAGCTGCGTCCTGCACAAGCACCTGCGTGCCCACGACTAGGGGAGCCAGCTGGCGGGATACCTCCCTCCGCGACAGGACCCCATCCTGGGTTTCGGCCAAGCGCACCTCCCTCATACGAAGTGCCCGCCGCCAGTGCTGGTCCACCTTATAGTGCTGTCTGGCCACGGGAACGCCGTCACGGAGCTGGCGGCCAGTGGCAAGTTGGGCGGGCGACTTGTTCACCCCCCGCAGAGGCGTGTTCAGGTACTGGAGGAGGGCCTGGGATGTCCTATCGCAGTCCAGGCTACCCCCGGGCCCAGTGTTATCCCTGAGGAGCCTCTTGGCAGCCTTGACCCCAGCCTCTGCCCTGCCATTGGACTGGGGGAAGTGGGCCGACGAGAGGCGCACCTCGACCCCCCATGACTTGAGGAAATCTGTCATCTCAAGGCTGGCAAGGTTGGTGCCTCCATCCGTGGAGATCTGCTCAGGTACCCCCCACCTCGTGAAGTAGGCCCGCAGACTGGCGATGATTTTTCCAGAGGTGGCCTCGTTGGGGAAGTGGGCGATCTCCAGCCAACCTGTCAGTCGGTCAGCATATGCTAGGTACGTGCGGCCCTGCAGGTGGAACAAATCGGCCACCACTTGTTGAAAGGGATAGTCTGGCGCTGGGGTCAGAACCAACGACTCCGGAGGCTGGGAAGGGGCGTGGGTCTCGCAAGCAGCACACCGGGACCGATGATACTGCAGGTCACCCTCCATGCCAGGCCAATAGACAGACTGCCGGGCCCGCCTGAGCATTGGGTCGAGGCCCTGGTGCCCCACATGCAGGTTAACGGCGACCCGGTGGCGGAGGGAGTCGGGGATGACAAGGCGCACGCAGCCCTGGTCAAAGGTGTAGGTGACCAAACCCCTGACCACAGCCAACCTGTCCCTCACCGAGAAGTATGGGCGCAGACAGGCCACCTCCTGCGACTTGTGGGGGTGCCAGTCGCCCGCCAGCACCCTCGACACTAGAATCTGGTACACTGGGTCGTCCGCAGCCGCTTTGCACACTGTGTCTTCGTCCATAGTGATGCACCCATCCTGATCCAGTGCTGCGATTGTGACTGCACACACTGCAGTGCACAGGTCCTCCTCTTGGTCCATGTCCTCTGCATCAGGCGCCGCCCTGAGGGAGGGGAAGCGGGATAGGGCGTCAGCTGCACAGTTCCGCTTCCCTGGCAAGTATTTGACCGTGAATCGGTACTGCAGGGTCTTCTCCTTGAGCCTGAACAGGCGCGGATTCGCCACATCCGTGAGGGCTCTGTCCCCTAGCAAGCCAACTAAGGGGCGGTGGTCCGTCACCAGAATGAGGTTCGGGCAGCCAAGGAGGAACAGCCTGGCCTTGCGCAGGCACCACACCACAGCCAGGGCCTCCCCTTCTACTGCAGCATAACCGGCCTCGGCCGTGCTCAGATGTCGGCTACCACACAGAGCCAACCGCCACCCTCCTCTGCAGCAGAAGGGCGTCTCTGGAGAGGCACAGGCACAGTATTGTTGCAGGACGACGAAGCCGATGCCCTCCCTGCTCCAATCAGTGACAGCTGCCGAAGGCCTGGATTTGTCGTAGTACACCAAGCCGTCTCTGGCCAACTGACAGATGGTGTCCTGGGCCTGGCGAAACTTGAGCCGCAGCTGGTCGTCCCAATACACCTGCTTGCCCACTGGCTTCTTGAGGAGCTCACAGAAGGGCTCCATCACCATCTTTGCTGTTGAAAAACTCGTTCCATTTCACAGCTTGGTTTGAAGATTGAAGAACCATTCCACTGATGGCGTCCAGGGCTTCTTTGGGCGAGAGCTGCTCCCACTGACCGCTGGGGTATCTCGAGTCAATCACCCTTTGGAGTGCAGGGATGCAGTTCAGGCGAATGTGGAGTGTGGCCACCAGTTGTGACCACCCGTTCAACAGCACCCATGACTCCATGGACCGCCTCCATGTCCTAAACGCAGCTGCTGGCATTTCTGCCTCACACTTCTCTGGTGCGACAGCTGCTGAGGGCTTCATGACCGGCATAGAAGCATGACCACCGCCAGCAACTAGAGACGCCATCTGAGCCATCAATGCACTCATGGCCTGCTGCTGGGCGCGCGTGGTGTTCCCGGCCGGTGTAGAGAAGCCCTGGCGTCCCCTTGAGGGCGTCGAGAATCGTGGACGTGTAGGGGCCATGTCAGCGTTCTTGTCAGGGCTGTAATGGCGTGTCGGGCCCCGACATATCCTACTCACTGCGCCATGTGAGAGGTTGGAGTCATAGACCACGTTCTTTGTAGACTTTATTCTAACAGCGTCAGCTGGTGACTGGCAACCGGGCGCTGCCAAAGACAAGCCCCCCATCTCAGCATGGGAAAACATATCGTACGATGGTACAATCTTACAAAAACCTAAATCCCCATTGTATTGCCCACTGTTCAGCGGCTTTTAGGCCGGCCTGCACCCTTTGTGCAGATAGTCTCTCGACCCGAGAGGAGCGCCAGATTGCGCAATCGTCAGCAAACAAGGAGAATTTGAGGTCACTTAAGCTGGGTGCTGGTGATAGGAAATCATTAATCATTATGAGAAATAATATTGGGCCCAAAACGCTGCCTTGTGGAACTCCATTTTCTAGGACAAATGTGTCTGACTTTACGTTACCTTTTAATTTGACGGAAAAAGTTCTGTCTTGCAAAAAATTTCTAATGAAAATTGGCAAATTACCTCTCAGACCCAAGGCCTGGAGCTTCATCATGAGGCCAGTCCGCCATGTCATGTCGAAAGCTTTTTCTATGTCTAGGAATACTGCAATTAGTGTTTCTTTACTGCAAAGAGCTTTTGAGATGTCAGTTTCAAGACTTATTAAATGATCTAGTGTGCTTCTACCTTGGCGGAAACCACACTGTCGATCACTCAATAAGTTGTTACTTTCCAAAAAATACATTAGCCTACGCTTTATCATACGTTCCATGACCTTACACAGACAGTTTGTGAGCGAAATCGGACGGAATGAGTTGGTGTTGGTAGGGCATTTGTCCCTCTTTGGGATCGGTACGACATGGGCAAAGTGCCATGAGTTTGGAAACGTTCTGGACGTCCAGATCTCATTGAACACTTCTAGCAATTTGTCCAGGTTTCCCTGGTCAAGGTGCTTAATCATCTCGTATCGTATACCGTCAGGTCCAGGAGTAGAGCCCTTGCCCTTTTTTAAAGCAAAGGAAAGTTCCTCTGGGGAAAATGCTCGGTTGTAGTCCTGTTCGTCCCCGTTCTCGAAGTCGAGATGCACGAGCTCGGCACGATCACGGAACACGCCGAAGAGTGGATCATGATTGGTGGAGCTACTAGCATCTGCGAACTTCTGGCCTAGGGCGTTGGCAATGGCCTGGGGTTCGTCGAGAAGCCGCCCTCCACTACTCACCTGTGGGATAAAAGTCCTTCCTCCTTTTGATGAATCTCAATGGAGAGACAGAGCTTTTATACACAGCCGCCGGAAGTAAACCGTGGGAAGTCGCCGGTTTCTCGACCCGTTGCTAGGATACCGTAGGTGCTAGTGGCTGGTTGCTAGGATACTGTGGCATCTGGTGACGCCCCCCCCCCCCTGGGCAGCTCGTTTGGTTGCTAGGGAAGACGTAGCAGGTGGCTGGTTGCTAGGATACTGTGGCATTGGAATGCGGCTACGCATTTGTAGGGGAGACGTCCACTACAAACGTGTCAGTTCACAGGAAAAAGCCCAAACTCCCGACAGCCGACAGGCTAATCAGTCACTGGATACTATGTAAAATTGTACATGATCAACAAGTAGGTGTCAGTTGTGGGGTATGAGATTGTTTGGTTCACACTCAGGATGGAATGGAGAAAGGAAACTCACAATGTGCTCTCTATATACATGTTGTATTGGATGTACAATGCAGCTTGGTGCTGGGAAGGCAGCATGGTTACAAGCGTGATGTAGAGAGAGCTGGTTGGTGAGGACGCTCAGAGAAGGACAGCTTGTGGGTCGCCATGCTCGCCAGCGGGAGAGAGGACCGCCAGGCAGGCGGAGGAGCGAGGACCGCCAGGCAGGCGGAGGAGCGCCGCCAGGCAGCGGCGGAGGAGGTGTTGCTGGCTGCGGCTGTAGGTAGAAAGAGAGAGATCACCACGAGGTCAGGTCTTAAATAGCGGGGGTAGGCGTGGCTTAGCAGTTGACCCCCGCTCCGTGGTGTATGGCGGCGCTGGTTGACCTAGACCACGAGGCATACACTGGGGAATTGGTGGGGTCGGCTAGGCAGCGACAAACAGCGTTTGTAGGGGAGAATTCACACACAGTTATCAAGCATTGGAGGATTCTTGTCAGTAACAACAGAACAATTTTCAGCATGTAGCAGTGAACAGGAAATCCTGTTAAATAATTTTGTACTGTTATCAAAGGTGCATCCTTCACACCCCACACACCACAGGAACAGCCCGGATATTTTATTTTTTATTTAGGCATTTTCCTTATAAAACGTCGTGGTTTGAATTAAGAGCTACCCTAGAAATAATAATAATACACTGTGAGAAAACTTTATATATATATATATATATATATATATATATATATATATATATATATATATATATATATATAATTTACCTAGTCTTTGGTGAAGGGCTACGACAAGTTGGGATATCAATGCTTGTACTGCGTTTTGGACATTGTTACCAGATTACAATGTTTCTATTGAATGTGATTTTATGAAAGATGAATATAATTATGAACATATGTAAAAACAATATTAAATTGTATTCTCAAATTATATATGAATTAAAATAACTACCTAATCTTCTGAGATATTTTTCTCAATTTGATAACTCGCTGAGACTAAGAGTTTTTGAAGATGTGGTAACAGTTACAGTTATAAACACACCACAGGACAGGGGAGCAGTACAGCTGTCACAGTTGACACATTATCACCTCATTAAACGCAACACTATGGTAAGATTACATTTTAACATGTAAAGGATAGCCGATGTGTTGGCCAGCAAAAGTTCATCGTATTTTGTGTAAAAAACGAAGTCGGTGATTGTTAAAATTATAGTAATTACATAATACGTACTCAATAATATTGTCATGCATTATAGACACTTGTGACTAAGAATGTTATAGGATATAGCGCTAGTAAATATGATGCACACAGGTATAGTACTCTGAGTTACATGAAATGATACTAGAAATGGTTTTAGTTTTTCCAGAGGCCACCTGATGACCCAGGGCTGATTTTCTATAGTAGAGGGATAAGATTAGAAAAAGGACAACCATGGAGCTCAATATTGATTTGTATACAGGAAGAAAGGGTAATTATTCCGTTTAGCACGTCTTGAAATTGCATAGAAGCACTTACTTTTAGGCAATTTCTACCTCATATATACACTCTCCTCGACTTACGACACATTCGACTTACAACAACCCGGACATATGACGGCCGTGGTAGTATAAAATATTTTTCATATTACGTATTATCGAGTCCTGACGTTAGTGATCGCGCTGTGTACTGACAAAATTTTCATTTGTAATTCCCTTTATAAAGGCTGGCAAGCGTAAAAGTGAGAGTTCTCGTGACGCTGAGAAGAAAACGACGGAACTCCGTCGTAAGTCGAGGAGAGACTGTACATTCCTCAACCCTTGACTTCTCTTGGAAACTTGTTTCTTTCAAAATAATCGTTCAAGTGAGGAGCACCTAAGAAATTAAGGTTAATATATAGGACTAACCCATGAACTAGTTATTTTTATTACTGGTTGTTTTCTTATAATATTTTCATCACTGAGTTCTGATATGATAATCATTTATTGTAGAAATTGTTTGTTTCATAGATAATTAGGCTCCTAGGTGTGCACTAGTTTATCTTGGTAAATTTACACTTCCACCTCCCACACTGTTAGAAAGTAAAAAATATATTTTTCTAGTGTATTTGTGTGTGTTTAGACCGAATATGACCTTCATTTCCGTCGGAAATTGACCGGTTTTTTTTAACGATTTTTTTCGTGGGACATTTAAAAAAAATGGCTAAGCGAATAAAAAATACACCAAAACTCACTAGAAAAACAAAAACCAAACCTAACCTAACTGACTCTCACCATATGATGGAATTACCTATTTCTTACCTTATTGGCCTGGTTCTTGTTTGTCGTTGGATTCTGAGATTCTTACACAATGCCACATATGTTGGTCTTTGTGACATTTACATTCAGTCTTGCTCTTAGTACACTTTACTGAGGTTGGAAGAACACCATGCGATCGAAAAAATGCTATAGTTTCTTTGTTTTTTCCCAAAACTCTCAATCAGCTCCATATAATTGAAGTGACACCCATCGCAGACTTCCATGGGCGGAAATGAATTTGAATTTGGAAATATGAGAGACTCAAAATCGATTTTGATTGGGCCAAAAATACTGCGAATTAAACCACAAATCATTTTAATTGGTTGCAAAAAAAAAGCTTTTGATTGGTTGCGTGACATGTACGGGAACGCATGCGCGGGATGATTTATGAAGGAGACACGCAGGAGACACGCAGTGTGAGAGGTGAGGTAGGCGATAATGGCAGAAGATTAATGGAAGAAAATACAGTAGAGAAAATTTTGGACATGTTATCTCCGTTATTATACATTTGCGACAGTAATGTAATAAATGAAAATGATCTTATAATTAGACGTCTTATTAGAATATGATAATAGATTAGTGGTAGGAATGTGGAATGTGTAAATGCAAAAATACCTTTATCTTGTGGGCAGTAATGAAGCCGCAATCTGCTGAGGGGCTTTTCCCGCTCAGTGGGCAGTTTGTTTTTCAGCATGTCGTGGGAAGGATGTCGCCAATCTTACAGGGACGTAATTTGTGAATGTAGGGGTAAAGACAACGAGACCAATCAATAGTTTAAGATCATGGCATTGTTCCTTTATATAGAGACTGTTTATTTTCTTATATTATTTTCATCAGTGAGTTCTAATATGATAATCATTTATTGTGGAACCCGCCAACACAGTAAATCACTCTGCACCCTGGGAGCATAGTGTTGATGTGGCTGTATCATCTCACGGCCAGAAAATGGCTCAAATTTCAGTGCGGGGAGATATGATAGAAGTATTTAAGTGGGTGAAAGGAATCAATAAAGGAGATACGTATAGATAAAGTTCTTAATGATATCCGAGCAGGATAGGACTCATAGCAATGGATTTAAGTTGGATAAGTTTAGGTTTAGGAGGGAGATAGGAAGGAACTGGTTCACAAATAGGGTAGTAGACGAGTGGAACAAGCTTAGCAACTTTATAGTAAGTGCTGGAATGCTGGAAAGTTTTAAAAGGCGGCTAGATAGATTCATGGATGATAGAGAGTGGTTGTAACTCACGACAGGAGCTGCCATGCACGGGCCAACCGGCCTATTGCAGACTCCTTATTTTCTTATGTTTCTTATGGTAAAGGTGGAAGAGACAGTTACTCCTAGAAATAACTTTATGGAATTGAACCAAAATTTCTGAAGATATTATTCGCATGATACTGAACATGAAATTGGAAGCAAGAATGCACAGAACCTATTAGAACCTGGCCTAACCTTACGTAATGTACCTAACCTTACCGAACTTCATAACCTGTGCATTGTCGTTTAGATTTTCATACTATTATTCAAATAACATCTCTAGAAAAAATGAACAAATTCAATCCAATATAAAATAATAAATCGTATTAAACATGCACGATGAGATTATCGTTCATTTCTTGACAAGTAAACAAAGACCATGGATGCTCCCATATAGCAGACAATGTGAATCAATGCATGATTGCCACGGGAGATCTGATGGTGCCATAATTACCGGTATGGTAAATATTTTAGTTATTCGCCTACAAAGGACGTAGAGATGTAAAATTACTGCCATATTTTCAGTGTTCACTGTGTTTTTACCCCGTAATTTCCCTCTCCTATCATGCCCTGCCCACTAACAAGTAATTTATGAAGGATATGCTAAAAAGAACAAAATACTACAACTTTGTTGCTTCGATTTTCATTACTCTCTATCATCCAATTAACATGTGAAAATTTGTGCATTCCATGTAGTCCTTTTGGTGCTAACCATCTCCTCCACCTTTACCGAAATAACATATGGAATTGAATCAAAATTTCTGGAGATATTATTTGAATGATACTAAACACAAAAATGGAAGTGAGAATGCACAGAACCTAGCAGAAAATGACTTAATCAATGAAAACTTACGTAACTGCCTAGCTAGGGGCCTTCGCTCCTTGGACCCCCGGCATATTATGCAGAAAGAACTTACTTTGATATAGGGTAGCAATGAAAGCAACTATCTTGAAGCAGCGTCATGTAATATTACATTATTGTGGACATAAGAGTGCGATCATTTCTTGCACTGAAACATTTCTTCTTCAATGTCAGTTCTCTGCTGCATTTTGAACACTTGGAAGTCATGCCAAGTAGTCAGTTGTTGTTAGATGAACTCTTGGAGACGCTCTTCTTCTTCCACAAGCACAGATAACTTGTGATATGATACCTAACTCACCGTGATAAGGACGCCATTAAAAAACAATACTGTGAGGCTTCTCCCTCAGTCCTCCCCCTTGAGGTAGAACATTGAGTAGCTATACGAACATACAGTTCACTTAGAATCCAATGCAACTTGAAAGATATTGGAAATGAATCAAAACCCATAATATGGGTTTCGATTTCAACAATATGATGCTCATCATTTATAAAATGAATGGGTTAAAAAACCTATTGCGCAGAAATAAAATAATACTGTATATGGAATTTTCTCGTCATGACACATGACTCTAGATAGTGAAGTCTAAATAAAAGTCATTGAAGCCTATAATAAAGGTATTAAAATCCAAAATATTATGCTCCATCATTTATTGACAATTTAAGCGAGACTGGATTGAGAATTTATTTGTTTACACCTGGAGGACAGCATGCACAGGCCATAATTTTTGGCAGAATATTTATGGTAAAAATTAAATTTCTTCATGTACAAAGCTCATAGAGACTTGATATGTCATATGATCAGTCATTCTTCATGCTCTGCCCACTACAGCTGATATATGATTGTGTACATAGAGAAAAAGAAAAAAAAATACAGTATAGTATTATGAAAAAAAAAAAGTTGTCATATCGATTTTATTAGCTAATATCATCCAAAGTACTGTACAGTATAACTGCGGAAAGTATAAACAATACAATATATATTAATGTGTTCTGGTGCTAACCATCTCCACCTGTACAAAAAAATAGCAATCTACTCTACAGTAGTATAGCATTTTCAACCTTTTCTGACTTCATTTTTATTTTATTTAATTTTTTTTAGGTCCCTTTGTTTTTACTTTTGTCTTGTTGGGTTTGATTAGGTTTACATACCTGGGGATCCATGGGGGCTTGGGTAGGACGTTAGGTTAAATCATTCTGGTTAGGTTAGGTTAGACATGTATTCTCTACTGGTATTTGAGAGTTGTAAGCAGGTACACATTATGAACTGTGGGCGGGTGCACATCATGAACTGTGGGCAGGTGCACATCATGAACTGTGGGCAGGTGCACATCATGAACTGTGGGCAGGTGCACATCATGAACTGTGGGCAGGTGCATCATGAACTGTGGGCGGTGTACATCATGAACTGTGGCGGTGCACATCATGAACTGTGGTGCACATCATGAAGTGCACATCATGAACTGTGGGCGGTGCACATCGAAGGGTGCACATCATGAACTGTGCTGCACATCATGAACGGTGCATCATGAACTGTGGGCGGGTGCACATCATGAACTGTGGGCGGGGCACTGTGGGCGTGCACATGAACTGTGCATCATGAACGGGTGCACATCATGAACTGTGGGCGGGTGCACATCATGAACTGTGGGCGGGTGCACATCATAAACTGTGCGGTGTACATCATGAACTGTGGGCGGGTGCACATCATGAACTGTGGGAGGGAGGAACGGCAGGTGCACATCATGAACTGTGGGCGGTGCACATCATGAACTGTGGGCGGGTGCACATCATGAACTGTGGGCAACATGAACTGTGGGCAGGTGCACATCATGAACTGTGGGCGGGTGCACATCCTGAACTGTGGGCAGGTGCACATCATGAACTGTGGGCAGGTGCACATCTTGAACTGTGGGCAGGTGTACATCATGAACTGTGGGCAGGTGCACATCATGAACTGTGGGCGGGTGCACATCATGAACTGTGGGCAGGTGCACATCATGAACTGTGGGCAGGTGCACATCATGAACTGTGTACACATCATGAACTGTGGGCAGGCACACATGAACTGTGGGCAGTGCACATCATGAACTGTGGCAGGTGCACATCATGAACTGTGGGCAGGTGCACATCATGAACTGTGGGCAGGTACACATCATGAACTGTGGGCAGGTGCACATCTTGAACTGTGGGCAGATGCACATCATGAACTGTGGGCAGGTGCACATCATAAACTGTGGGCAGGTGCACATCATGAACTGTGGGCGGGTGCACATCATGAACTGTGGGCAGGTGCACATCATGAACTTTAGGCAGGTACACATCATGAACTGTGGGCAGGTACACATCATGAACTGTGGGCAGGTACACATCATGAACTGTGGGCAGGTGCACATCTTGAACTGGGCAGGCAGGTGCACACATGAACTGTGGGCGGTGCACACCATGAACTGTGGGCGGTACACATCATGAACTGTGGGCGGGTGCACATCATGAACTGTGGGCAGGTACACATCATCAACTGTGGTCAGGTGCACATCATCAACTGTGGGCAGGTGCACATCATGAACTGTGGGCAGGTGCACATCATGAACTGTGGTCAGGAGCATATCTTGAACTGTGGGCAGGTGCACATCATGAACTTTGGGCAGGTACACATCATGAACTGTGGGCAGGTGCACATCATGAACTGTGGGCAGGTGCACATCATGAACTGTGGGCAGGTGCACATCATGAACTGAGCAAACAAATAACCATTTCCCTACTATATGCCAGACGCTCCCCCAGCTTGACACAACCACTCACCCTGCTTACCTACCAGCCCCCCTTCCCACTGACTTAGTAGAAGAATTTCAAGTAGCAAAACGCCTGGACAAACTGAAATTGAAATGCTCTACCACCCCCATTCACTTACCAATGAAACTCTTCAAGGAGTTCTCCCCGGAGCTTGCTAAACCCCTATGCTCCATCATCAATGCTTCTCTCAGTCAAGCCAGATGCCCAGCTGACTGGAAGACCTCTTATATATCACCAGTGCCCAAGTCAACCAGCCCACAATCCTTAAATCAACTACGACCTATTGCAATCACCCCAATACCCAGCCTAATCTGTTAAAGTTTTGTGTTCGACTGGGCTTATGCTGATATTGCAGGAGTCGTAGACCCTCAGCAATTTGGCAACATGAAAACTTCCTCCACCACTCACTGTCTTGTCAGCTTTCTCGATTACATATACCGCCATCTCGAGAAACGAAAAACGTCTATAGCTGTCGCCTTCATTGATTTCACTAAAGCCTTCGACCTAGTCGACCACAATATAATCATCAACAAAGCTATTGACCTCGGGCTTCGGAGAAGTCTTATACCATGGCTTACAAACTTCCTCAGTGACCGACGCCAAGCTGTACGCTTCCGAGGGGCTGTCTCCACCTGTGGCGTCACCCCAAGGCACCAAGATGGGACCACTCTGCTTCCTTATGCTCATCAATGATGCCCTAAGAGAAACCCCTACTCGCTGGAAATATGTCGACGACTCCACCATTGGGATCAGCGTCAACAATTCTGCTCCCAACTATACCGCCCTTCAGGATTTATTGAACAGTCTCCAAAACTGGGCCACCAACAACCATGTCACCATCAACCATACCAAGACCATAGTTATGCACATCAACTTCTCCTCCGACATTGTCCCACCTCCTTCCATTACTCTAGGTCCGAACACACTCCAGGTTGTAGATTCCACGAAGCTCCTCGGCGTCACCATAGACAACAAACTAAATTGGAAACCACATGTCAGTGAAGTTGTCAAATCCTCCAGTTTCCGTTCCACCTCTCCCCACTCAAGTCCGAGTTCCTGCACCGAGCTCCTCAGTGTTTACACAACATTCATACTTCCCAAGCTCACCTATGCCTCCCCCACCTGGCCTTCCTCCCTAAATGCCACACAACGTAAACACCTAGAAAAAGTGCAAAAGAGGGCATGCAAGATTATTCTCTCCCCTTCCTACTCCACATATCAAGAAGCGCTCAACACACTGACCCTTTCGACTCTCACTGACCATCACCACGACCTCATCTGCAAATTTGGTAAGAAGCTTCTACACCATCCTCGACACCGGCTCCTACTACCACCTGAGATCCCTAGCCCGAGAATTGTTCGACACCACAACCGCATCCAGCCCATACGTGCACGAACTGATCGCTATAAGAACAGCCCAGTCCCAACCATTGTAAAAATTATCAATAACTTGTAATAGACCAGTGTATTCACTCCCAGTAAACACTACTCCTTGCACTGTCACTATGTTGAAATGCCCTGTAGTTTGAGCTTTTCCCCATCTAGTTATTATATAGCTTATTTATATCACTTATGTTACTTGTATCTTATTTTTAATTCGAAACCCATTCCCCAAATATGTAACTGTATATTTTCAGCCTTCTGGCTGCCAAGCTTTTTCAATAAACCGTTAATTATTATTATTATTATTATGAACTGTGGGCAGGTGCACTTTATGAACTGTGGGCAGGTGCACATCATGAACTGTGGGCAGGTACACATCATGAACTGTGGGCAGGTGCACATCATGAACTGTGGGCAGGTAAACATCATGAACTGTGGGTGGGTGCACATCATGAACTGTGGGCAGGTGCACATCATGAACTATGGCACACATCATGAACTGTGGGCAGGTGCACATCATGAACTGTGGGCAGGTGCACATCATGAACTGTGGGCAGGTGCATATGAACTGTGGGCAGGTGCACATCATGAACTGTGGGCAGGTGCACATCATGAACTGTGGGCAGGTGCACATCATGAACTGTGGGCAGGTGCACATCATGAACTGTTGGCAGGTACACATCATGCACATCATGAACTGTGGGCGGGTGCACATCATGAACTGTGGGCGGTGCACATCATGAACTGTGGGTGCGCATCATGAACTGTGGGCGGGTGCACATCATGAACTGTGGGCAGTGCACAAGACTGTGGGCAGTGCACATCATGAACTGTGCGGGTGCACATCATGAACTGTGGGCGGTGCACATCATGAACTGTGGGCAGGTGCACATCATGAACTGTGGGCGACTGTGCACATCATGAACTGTGGGCGGTGCACATCATGAACTGTGGGCGGGTGCACATCATGAACTGTGGGCGGGTGCACATCATGAACTGTGGTGCACATCATGAACTGTTGGGGTGGGCGGTGCACATCATGAACTGTGGGCAGGTGCACATCATGAACTTTGGGCGGGTGCACATCGTGCACATCATGAACTGTGGGCGGGTGCACATCATGAACTGTGGGCGGGTGCACATGAACTGTGGGCGGGTGCACATCATGAAGGTGCATCATGAACTGTGGGCGGGTGCACATCATGAACTGTGGGCGGGTGCACATCATGAACTGTGGGCGGGTGCACATCATGAACTGTGGGCAGGTGCACATCATGAACTGTGGGCGGGTGCACATCACGAACTCTGGGCGGGTGCACATCATGAACTGAAAAGTACATTTCTTCTTTAACAATAAAGGTTGATACAGTAGGTAAAAGTGGATATCATAAATATAAACCAATAGGAAAATAGAAATAATTTATTATTTAAATTCTTCTGAAACCCTCTATTCATATTGAGTTATGGAGGATGAATAATATTAAAAGAATGTATATTTCTTTTTTTTTCTAGGAAAGTATGGAGCTTGACTGCTTGTGACAAACCTAACAAAATGATGAAGCAAACATTTTTGAGAGGCACGTTCCTCCTTTTTGGTCTCCTGTTCCATCTTTTGTCACAATCCTTGGTTTGCTGTAGTACCTCATTGGATGACTCACTACTTAAAGAACTTAGACAACGATGTCCATTAGCAGATCCACACATCCATGAAGATACTGTACTATCTGGAGCTAAAGATGCAGGTAAGGGGCTAATAACTCAATGCAGTGATATTCCCGTTAGCCGGAACAACTGGTGCAGAGCGCTTCTGGGAATGAGAGATTTCTGGGTAACGAGACGACTATCTCAAAGCCAGAAAAAATCCCTCGTCCCCGGAATTTTCTGGGTAGTGGAAAAATGTTCTTGGATGTTCCAGAATGAGGCATTATTTCATCTCTCACAGCTGGAAAAAAATCCCTCATCCCCAGAATTTTCCAGGTAACGGAAAAATTTTCTCAGAAGTTCCAGAAATTGCGCATTACATCTCTCTTGATCCGGAAAAATATCCCCCATCCCTGGAATTTTCTGAGTACATACTGGGAAAATTTTCTCAGAATTTTCCAGAAAATGTGTCCCTTGGAGAATTGTTCCCAAAGCCCAAAATTATTGGGTCACGTTACTAACCTGACTTGATGCAACGTCAGGTCACCCAGTGTTAGGTGAGGATTAGTTGTTCTTATGACCTGAATATGTCTTTAATGACATTATTTTGTACCTATGAGGTATATACAGTACCTTGTACTATACTGTATTGTATATGAAAGGTACATGTATTAATAAGCTCAGATTATTATAGGAACATATCTGTACTAATTAATGAAAAACAAATAAATATTATTGTACTGTACGTTTCACGAATGAATCAGTACTTAAGACAAACAGTGAGGGGAGGAGGATAGTGCGGTCACTTTTACCCCCCAATGGTTCCTTCAACCTCTTACTGGTTCACAATGAGAGATTAACCTTATAAAATGCCATTGACTTGACTTACAAGAATATAATTTGTATTGTTGAAATTCTTGTAAGATAGTGATTAATTTGAGTATAAACATCCCTTATTTCGCACACACACACACACACATGTGCACACACACACACACTTGTCAACCACTAGCGGACAAGACGTGCCCTGAAGGCGCTCCCAGTTTGAGCAGCCAGGCTGAGTCTGTTTGCCCCCCCCTCCTGCTACATCCCAACGCCCTACCAGCTTTACTACACCAGGATTTATTCAGCAAAACATTCAAGTGATCCGTGAATGATTGACTACCAAACAGTGTTCCTATAGTGCACTCCAAGGAAAAGCACAAAAACACAGCAGTGTAATACTGAGTGTGGCTGGATCTGACCTAACCTGACCTGACCTCACGGCTTCACCTGACCTAACCTGAAGGATGGAGCACACCTGCATTGCCCCAAGCTACTATCCTGGCCACGTGGCCACACACTTGCCCAACCGCATCCAGCCCATACGAGCACGAACTGGTTGTTATAAGAACAGCCCAGTCCCAACCATGTTACTTGTATATCATTTGTAAATCAAGAGACCCATTCCCCAATTATGTAATTGTATATTTTCAGCCTTCCGGTTGCCATGTTCTTTCAATAAACCGTTAATTATTATTATTATATTATTATTATTATTATTATTATTATTATTATTATTATTATTATTATTATTACCACACACACACACACACACACACACACACACACACACGAGAATTAAGACAACAAGCATCCAGTGAGGGTCTTGTTGTGTGACTGTATGGAGGTGAATTAAAAAATCAGTGTTGAGGAGCTTATATTGCTTGGCAACACTGGTGTATGTTACCACTCCATCTCTCTAATCACCCACACCATTCTGCTTTGTATTGTAATGTTGAAGGGATACAACTTTGCTCATTTATACTTATACTTATCACAATCTCTCTAAAAATACTTTAGGTTTCGTGTTTATTCAAGACAGTTTCAGGTCATGAGACCCACTAATCCCCCGGCCAAGAAAGGGTGACCTGACATTCCATCAGTAGGTCAGTAATATGAGACCACTAATCCCACACCCTACCTCCACCTAACATTGCTTCAGGTCAGGTACATGAGACCCACTAATCCCCCACAGCTCCATGGGAGTGGAACATACCAGTCTTTGTAATAACACACCTCTTCATTCACGCCCATATCATGTAGATTTTAAATTTTCAAATATATTTATTTTACAAAACTTTTACATAAACTATTCTGGATTATTATTGTAAAGAAATGAAGTTTATGACTTAATTAGAACTGCATTTACGAACTCCTGTAGTTTGGACTCAAAGAAAACATTCCAGCACCCAGAAACATTCTGGGGAAGTGGGCTAGTGTCTGTGTGTGCATGATGTCTAGTTTAGACACTCGGAAACTTTTCCCAGTAACCGGAAAAGATTCCGGGGATAAGGAATTTTTCCGGGTTTGAGGAAGTTGTCTGGTTAGCTGGAAATCTCTCATCCCTGGAAGTGCTCTGCACCAATTTTTCCGGCTAATGGGGATATCACTGTACTGTACTGGGGAAAGTTTTGAGAGTCTAAACTACACATCTTGCACGGATAGACACAGAACTGTATTTATTTATACAAGCACCGCTAGACATACAATATACCATATTGTAAATATGCAAAATATGCTACTGTACACTGTATATACTGTGCTCACCAGTAGATGCTGTCATCATGAGGAGCTGATGCAGGCAGGCCAAATGGTGATATGATGATACAGGATAGCCTGCTTTGTCCTGTACCATCTTATGACAGCTGATGCTAACTGTCATTGTCCTCTCACTCTTTGAGGAAAGAGAGGCAAATTAGGAGTGACAAAAGATTTCTATTGCCGACAAAGTGTTGGGTTGAGGTGATGCACATGATGATGACAATGTATGTGGTGGTTGTGATGGTAAAGGTGGGGTGGGGTGGGGCCAGAAACACTCACCACTAGTACTAGGCAAGCTGTCATAGAAGACAACACTAGGACACCTGGGTACTGGAGCAGGGACCTTGGGAAAATAGTCCTCTTCTGCTTTTCATCAAAATCAACTGCTCTCATCTTCCAAAGGTTCTGGTTAAAGGGTAGGAATTGGGGGATATCAGTGGTGACCATAAAATTCAGGAGGATATCCAGGTGTCCTCACCTCTCTGAGACTGATGGAGTGCACTTTACAGAACCTACAGTGTGTTAGTGAGATCTGGCTTCTTCACTCCAAATAATGCTTTAGTCTCACATTGATCATCCACTCCAGAACCTTACAAAAATGCTTGAGGTCAGGGAAATCGGTCAAAAGCTCAGTGAGAGAGTGGTCCTTCATGGGCTTCCTGGGTCTAAGGCTTCGGTTATGTCGAGGAAAGCCATGTACAGGTCACGATGCTGTTCTCTGCACTTTTCCTCTATCTGACGGGCAGCAAAGATCATGTCAGTGGTGCCACGTAATGGTCTAAAGCAACATTTAGATTCTGGGAGGAAGTTTTCCGAGAATGCATTGGCGGATGGCAAAGTCAACTCCATAGATGCAGTTTCTCTCTGCAGCAGGCTTACCCTTCCATAAGAAAGTATAGCCAGACCTCCATTCTGTGAGTTGACCCTCGTTTGGGAGCCGGGACTCACTAATGGCTGCTATGGCCGGTTCATCTTTCAGGATGCTCATTTGTGCCAGTATCCAGAAGGGTCCTGACATTCCATGCAGTGACCATAAGAGGTTGTATAGTTTGTTTTTGTTTGGATCTGTGATTTTGGTTGTGTTTTTGACCGCATAAGGATGACCTTACTGGGTACAATTGCCCAGTCAGGTTGTTTTTTTAGGCAGGCTATGTTTAAGGCACCTTTTCTAGCCCCCTCCCCATGTGGGGTGAACAGAGTGGCTCCTCGAAAGGGCTGCTCAGTCGCACAGACAGAACCGGTTTGCACTGCTGCCTAGATCCCAGTGCAGAAACGACCATCTTATCTGTGCCGCTCATGTGCAAAGTTGTGACTAGAGACTCCCGGCAGTCATCTCTGCCTGTCCCTGTTGCCACTCGTCCGTCGCCATAGGACTTTTGGGGGTATCGAGGTTTTGATGATGATGAGTGGTATGATGAGCTGGACGATGGCTGCGCATGAGTTGTTTTATGTGGTGAGGCAGGAGCGCAAGCTGCAACCACACATCCTTTGAGACCGAGGGGTATCTGCTCAGACCACTCAAAGTTCTTTAGACCCATAGGATCAAGGTCCCATGGGTGACAGGCTTCTGCTGTTGTTGCATTTTGGTAGGAACTATGAATGAACCGGTGATACTGAGGAAGGGGTACTTGACAGGAGCCTTCACCCAATTAGCCCCTCAATGATCCCCAAGGCCTAGATGATCCTGTGGGCTGAGCCTTTGGAGGGGGGTGTTGGGTCCCCATGGGCATATTGTGGCCTGGGAGAATTTGTGGAACACTGTAGGCTGTTTTGTTGGTCATTGCAAATGCAGTATGCATTTTGGGGTACTGGTACAATAATTCTCATCTGGAAATCTGGGCCTGGCAACACTGCCCTTAATGCAAAGTCGACATAACATCAAAATGGTCATATCCATTGGGTGCATGCCCATGGGTCATCCGAGAGCTTGCGATTTAAGGAGTAGTTTGAAGGGTGGAGGGGCCTCTAAAATGCTAGGGCCAGCTCTGAATACAAAGCACCTCAAACAAAGTGTTTTCCTGTTGAATCACAGATCTAAGTTAAGCTGCCAAAATATACTTCTCAAAAATGATTGCTATGGTCATTAGCCTCACTCAACTAGAGGTACACTATTACAGTTTCAGTACTTATAGCAATGTCCATTTCCTCAATTTTGGAAAAGGATTTCTGGGCTGCTGCAGAAACATCCATCTCCTGATATATTTGGATTTGGGATGGAATAGGTGACATGTGTGGTGTTTGGAATACTTAATGTAGTAACTTCCTAGTTACTAGTAGCTTTAACTTCATAAATAATTTGTCAATTGTGCTGGGTGCACTGTCTGTCTGATCAGTTTCCTCCTCTTTCCATGGTTTTTCATGCTAATACAGTGTAATTCACGAGTTTGCACCAGAGGACATCGTGAATTACAGTTAGATTGATTTAAATAATTAGTTAGATTCTGGAGGCCATAAAATATGCATAAGCTATTCCAAAACTGCCTTAATAAACACTGAATATTGTACATAATACATAAAAAATACTGTAAAAAAATATTGTAGAGAAAAGTAGTTCTGTTACATAACAACTCCTTCCCTTTTCATACTCATCCTCTGGGTGATACTAATACAGTAACACAGGCATGGGAGTGAAGTGGTGAGGCCTGGTTGGTCAACTGCTCATACTATGTACACAAATCACTGGGAATTTAATACGATGCAATAACTCATCTGGTGTTGAATGATAATTTTTTTCAGGAAAATACTGTAAGTAATTTTACACCAATATTTTACAAACCTTGCACCAAATGAACCAAAATAATATGGGAATTTGGGTGAGATTTTATAATGTTGTATTAAGGTGTGACAAGCGCTCTGGATTTTTTATTATATTTTATTTTTTATTTATTTATTTATTTTTTTACAGGGATTTGTCTACCTTGGGCACAGGTCAACGACCTGGGGGCAAAAGAAAAAATAAATACATTGAACCATAAATAAATACTGAAATTAAAAAATAAAACAAATCAGGAGTGAGAAATGATAAACAGTACTGTATACGTGTATGTTATTTTGTCAAAAGAGAAACAATTGAGACCTTTAATTGTATGTAAATGATGCAGAAAGTCTGTCAGATCAACAACCTGGGACTTGGTCAAAAATTTTGTGATGCCATATAGCAGCAGGGTCTACCATTAGACAACATGCTGTATTATGCTTCCAATATCTTCATAGACCTCCCCGTTTGATAGCTGCCTGCTACCTACTACCTATGAAAGGAAGCTCAGTCCACCACCCAACTCCCACTCTTCATTTTTTTTTTTTTTTATAGTTTTATATTATATTTTCTTTATTTCTTAGTCACATTACAAAATTGAAATTGTATTTCCAGAACTTTTATGGTTTCTTATGTAAAATACTGTGGCAGTTGGCACATAATGAATATTTGACTGCAAAAAATGGAGTACAGGTAATAGAGATACCCGTGAATTTTAATACTTGAATTTGTATTTTGCAAGTTATCACAACTCCACTGTACCATATGTCATGGGGTATCTGTGAACTTTTTAGATCATGATTGGGGGATTAATTTTGAAATGTCTTTTTTGGGATAAATTTAACTTGATAGAACAAGTTCCCCTCCTATTCCCTGAGATATAGAACAATAGTGGCTGGGTCAAGCATGATGGTGCCCTCATGACTGGTTGATTGTGGGAAGAAAAAATCTGTCAGGGTGACTATGATGATAGTCCCTCCTTCTTCTCGTCTCAATTGGTACCATGGATATCTTTAGGGGACCATTTTCCAACTGGAAAGAGATAGACTAGGTATGGTTGAAATGATAGCCACATTTTACTATTATCATTATACTTATCAAGCATAACAGCTTGGCTCTGTCATGTTGAGTCCATATAATATCATGGGATATCTGCTCACAATTTGTATTGAAAATGGATTTCCTGATCAATCTCCCATTCTGCTGTAGTTAATACAACCTAATTGTTTTATATTTGTTATTCCAGGAAAATATGAGGTGATAACTCATGCAACCAACTTGACAGCATGTGTCCATGCTTGCTGTAACAGTAGCAAGTGCCATGTGGCACTCTTGCATAAAGAAAATTGTGTTACTGTGGAGTGCTTTAATGCTGAAGTGTGTCAGCTGACTGCAGGTTTTGGGTCATCACTTGTGGTGGTGAGGAATGTAGACAGCAGGAACCTGGAAGGTGATGCACAGATGATAGCACAACCTAGGTATGTTTATTTACTGTATTTCTTTTGTAATGAGACTTTTACCGTATGTTATGACTTTTATTATTTTTAGTGTAAGCCAAGTCATGGTAAACAAAGGTGTAGAGCTAAGTTAAATCTTCCTGAAGGTGAGATGTTCTCTTTGGGGTTATCCAGGTGGATACAATCAGAATCTTGCAGAGTGCAGTATAGATCACTTAAATGTTAGACATGTTGCAAATATTGTAGGTTACCATTGAAGACATCATTGAGAAGCACAGATAAATTTCTCTCATATTAACCTTCAAGGCTCTCAAATGAGATTTATTCCTGATGTCAGTGATATTGACACATCTGAAAAGCCTTTACTTCTGCAGCTTTGCATTTTGTAACTGTCCTCCACCAGATAGTTCTCTTAGCAGTGCTTGCCTTATATGGTTTATAATGGTATTTAACCACACACTTGTATGATAGCCAAGCTGATCTTTTAATGCCCTAGGTTGGAAACCCTTGGATCGAGGGTGCATAAAGGAAAAAAAAACTTCTTTTTTTGGACTCGCTGCAGGAAAATAAAATTAAAAAAATATCCAAACATACTTTAATTAAACCTACAGGTGTTCATACAAAAATATAACCCTTTTGAGTAGTTTCACACAAAAATAAAGACTAGGATCCTCTGGATATATAAATAGCACCATAAGGTAAAGGAAATTACTGTCTCTAGAATGAATGGCTCCCTGTCCCCGCTGCAAAAATGTCGGCAACTTTAAAACTACCCACAGACATTCTTGGTACATCCATGGTGCCTTCAGCGAATAACCAAGAATCGCGAAGTAAAAATCCGCAAACTTGGGGGGGGGGGGGCCTGTACAAATAACTCGTCCGTCGGTTAGTCCTATATATTAAACTATTATTATTATTATTATTATAATTATTATTATTATTATAATTATTATTATTATTATTATTATTATTATTATTATTATTATTATTATTATTATTATTATTATTATTATTACAGCTCCTCCCCGACTTACGACGGGGTTAGGGACCCAAATCCAGGTCGTAAGTCAAAATGGTCGTAAGTCGGAAATGCTTAAATAATACATAGAAAATCGAAAATGGGTGTCTCTTTTTCTTCTCAGCACCACAAAACACTCACTTTTAAGCTTGCCAGCCATTTTAAAGTGAATTACAAACGAAAATTTTGTCTGTGTACCGACTTTGGGACTCGAAAATACGTAATTTTACCAAATTGTGGTATGACTGAGGTAGGTCGTGAGTGCGGGTGGACGTAAGTCAAGTAGGTCGTAAGTCAAGTACTGTAGGTCGTAAGTCGGGGAGGAGCTGTATTATTATTACAGAAGGATTTTTATTACCATACAGTATTATTATTACAGAAGGTCCTTGTTTTTTCATACAAGAACTTATGAGCCATCAACCATAGACAGTGTGGGCGGGTCAGTTGCTTCTCTGTAACAAAGCGTGTTCGGCACTCGGGCCTTCGATGTTGAGCGGCGGGGATTGGATAGTGATTGCATAAGAGCATCAAGATCGTCTTAGTGATGTGAAAGTGTAAATCGATATAGGATTTTTAATGCTAGATGCGATTGTATTTTTTTGAAACTCAATTTCCACCAAGTTGGAGGTACAGCCAAGGTCACGAGGCCGATAACCACAAAGTCACTGCTTTGTGTCAAAGTTTTTATTTTATTTTATTTTTTACGGAGTTGTGGTCACGGCTGTGATAAAGGCCAACCAGGAAGTGTAGTACAGGTTGTACCTCTCTAGTCCGGCAACCTCGGGACCTGACCGGTGCCGGACCATGGAAATTCACCCTTTTCCTGGATAGATAGTGACTTGTGCTTATGCCTGGAAGCACTAGCACCACTCTCTCTGCGTCATGGTCTCTTTGAAGACATATTGAAGGGTTAAATGTCGTATAGTAGCTTCTCAAATTTCGCGAGTTTTTAATTCTTAACGTATTTTATTGGAACACAAAAAAATAAATAAATAAAAATTTTGACGGCGGAAACTTGAATTTCGACGGGTTTGAACGGCCCGCCAACGTGCAGACGACGTGCATAATCGTGTAAACAGCGTCATTTCTCTTATGTACAAAAGATTCATTGTTGTTTATTACTGAATGTCTTTTTTATTGAATTAATGTTTGTGTGCAAAATGAGCAATACAATTCATTTATAATACGTAGAATATTAAAACACACGAGGAAATGACACAGCATTGTTTTCGTTGATTACAAAACCAGTGACTGACTGGTTCTACATATAAAACTGAAGAAAATAAGACCTTGGTTGTAGCTGTAGTAAAATTAATATGGTTGTTTTAAGTAATGTTATTTAATGTTAATAAATGGAACAATAGAAGTAGCTAACGATAATGGTAAAGAAAAAGAGAGATCGCATATGTAAGTGCGCATGCGCACACGTGAAAACATATCGTCATTACTTTACATAAGAATATGAAAGCAACACTTATTTACTGTTCATATATATTTTAATTAATGTTTCTGAATTTGTTTTTATTGAATCAATGTACGTGTGTGCAAAATTAACAATACAATTTATTAATAATACGTGGAATATTAGAGGAGACGAGACGGCTGCCGGCATTGTTTATGTTAAAGCTTACAAAACCAGTGACTGATTGGTTCTACATATAAAACTGAAGAAAATAAGACCCTGAGTTTAGCTGTAGTAAAATTAATGTAAAAAATGAATATGGTTGCTTGAAGTACCTGTAATGTTATTTAATGTTAATAAATGGAACAATATAAGTAGCTAACCATTAATGGTAAAAAAAAAAGTGAGACTGCTCGTATGTAAGTGCGCACATGTGAAAATATATCGTCATTACTCTACATAAGAATATGAAAGCAACACTTATTTACTGCTCATATATATTGAAGGGTTAAATGTTGTACTCTGTATAGACAAGCAGAGAGAGAGAGAGCAGCCGAACTGCCGGATGTAAACAAACCTTAATTTCCCGCGGCTTTTTTTTTTTAAGGGGATTAGCCCACCCGGGAATAGGTCACTGACCCACATTAGGGCCTGAGGGGCAAAAATTTAATACTCCTGTAATAATAATAATTCAGATAAGTAAAAAAAAAAGAAAAAAAAAGAAGCTGCCTATCTACCTATTGGACAAACTAAAATCGTTCCGGACCACGGGAGTTTCCGGACCACAGAATGCCGGACTAGAGAGGTACAACCTGTACTATTACATTTTCACCCCCTAGGCCCCGATGTGGGTCAGTGACCTGTGCCCGGGTGGGCTGTTACCCAAAACCAAAACAAAAACAAAAACAAAAAATAAAATTGCTCCACAAAAAAACATTCTGTTTTCAGAGCTTTTCGGTTTTTGGAATTTCGGATAAAGGGTTGTCAACCTGTATATATATATATATATATATATATATATATATATATATATATATATATATATATATATATATATATATATATATATATATATATATATATATGTATATATATATATATATATATATATATGTACAGTCATGCACCGTTTAACGTCCGACAGAACAATGTCCGATTGCATATACGTCCGTGGGCACCCCCCCCCCAAAGAGAGAGAGAAAAAAATAAGTGACGCCTGCTGGACCACCACTCCACGACCCCCTGACGAAGACACGATGATCCTCCCCATACTGGTTAGATATTATGTGTTAAAGGAATATGCTTCCTTACTTAGGCTTTTTTAAGCATTTGCCTACAGGTGAAATGTTAACCTACATCTATTGAGGATAAAATCTTTCACCTACAAATTGACAATAACACATTTGCTGTAATCAGACATATCTAGTTGCCTCAACAATTGCAACCCCAGTTGCAATTGGGGTTGCAATTTCAAATTCTGTGTCATTTAAGGAATAACGAAGTCTCAGGTGCACTGCACTCTTAAGATTAAGAGAAAACGGACTCAGGCATCCTTAAGCGAGAGAAAACGGACTCCTATGATGGAGGACACAAGCACTCACACACCACTTATACTGACAGACTTGACACTCACTTACTTGACAAGTTTTACCAACCATTACGTTATCTAGTGAATTTAGTCAATATTGTACAGTACAAGTACACTGCAATACAGTGGTCCTTCGGTTAACAATGGAACAAACCTGTACTGTACATGTACTAAATGATTACGGTACTGCAATTGTTATGTCTATTGCAAATATAGATTGTTTATACAGGTATTCAAATAAATCACTATCTTACAAGAATCCCAGCAATGTAAGTTATATTCACCCAGGTCGTTTGGGTGGCAAATTATGAGAAGAGCTTAGTCACTCTTAAGTAATGATAAATAAACAGTAGGCCTTCAGCGCCAACTGTCACATCTTATCTCAAATAAATAAACAAACACCAGACACTCTGTCACCTCACCTCTTCCCCCACGCTCTCTGGCCTGGCTCCCTCCCTCCTTGTGTTCCCAGACAAAAGATTGGTGATAACTTTATTCTTAAAGGTGTTTATTTTATATAATATCTCAGACTAAAGTTAGGAGATTATAATTTGCATTGCTGGAATCCTTGCAAGACAGCCAATAATTTGAATATAAATGTCATATATTTTGCTCAAGATATAAAAGTGTAGTACATTAGTGTACAAAACTGTAGTACATATTATAATACAGTATAAAGTATTTCAACTGTAATTTTGGGTAGATTTACTTAAATTTCTTCATTTATTTTCATCCATTTACATACACACCATACTAAAAGAAACGCAAAAGAAATAAATGACCTTAGTGCAAAGCTGGAGTGCACATGTACTAATTTGATTACGGTACTAAAATTGTTATGTCTAGTGCAAATTATAGCATGTTTATGTTCAAATTAATCAGTATCTTACAAGAATCCCAGCAATGTAAATTATATTCACCCAGGTCATTTCACTGGCTTTTTATAAGAGAGAAGCTTAGTCACCTAGGAACTGATAAATATACACACGTTAGACCTGGGCCTGTGCCAACTG